GCCAAATTCCAAGCCACTTTTCGCCTACCAAGCTATCGGCAGTTTTCCATCCGACTAAACGCTTTTGTCAGTCTGTGCACAGAGAACTGATTCATGCTCCCTCTCTCGCCCCTTTCCGAAGGGATGTTGAGTTTGTGTTCGAATTTGTGGAAGTCGGCGATTATGTGGATGGGCGAGTTGGGACACTTGTGGTTTTGTTGACCGCTTGACCTTGCCGAAGGGCCACCATCTCACAGTGGCAGACATGGAGGTGGTGCAGTGAGTGACCGTGGCACCATCAGCTCATAAGATCATCTGCATGAATTGAGATTGTACTTCGCAAAACGACATGATGCCACGACGTTTTGTTGCGTTCAATCTTATTTCAACTGAGTAAACTTGAACTTGCGTAAGTTTCTTTTGATGAATTTGCAACTGATTGTTTGGTGAGGTTCTTGGGCTGTCTATTCTCCCGGATATGTCTGCGTGAGCGCGCGTGGACACAGCAGATATTTGTTTCACAGGTCAGACCATATATGAAAGGGCAGTTTTTGAAACTTAGTGCGTTCAGCAGTGGCTCCACTCGGCCAACTTTTCGGTCAGTCATTGCCAATTTCATCACTTTTTTTTTGCTGTTTTTCAGCGAATCTGAGCTGAACCAGCATGCGCACGGCTGATTCATTGTGGTTTACTGTGATGATGTAAGTTCGATCTGGACTTGAGGCTGTATGTTAGGCAGGTAATCAGGGGGTTTTTTTCAGACTTGTGGTTTTCCGCTAATTCAGTATAAAAATCCCAGCCTCCTGGCACATGCGCTGTTGTTGAAGACACACACGAGGCAATGTTTTTATATTATGTTCAATTAAATCTGCTTAGTTTTGGTTAATTCTTAGTATATTTCATTTTCACATTACTGGCTTTCTGTTCGCCCGTTATTATTCGCAGGTCTCTTATTTCGCCAGGTTATGTCATATAATGTTGCAGAACTACTTAACATGCTAAATATATTCAGTGTCATAATATAAATCATATATTATGTTTTCGCCAGAAGTTTTTCCAGATTTACGCAAAAACGCACAAAAAAGTTAAAAAAAAAATTCCCGGACTAATAACCTTTCCCCATTATGCATATTGGCCAAGGAAGGAAAAAACGCTCAAAGTGTGAAAGCAAGCCAAAAATAAAAATCAGCTCCTACAAGGACAGTCCAGGGGCTGGTAGTTAGGGTAGTTAAAAGCACCAAGTGAGCCGATGGCCAGTGAATGAATCACCACTGCAAAGCCACTAAATTCTGGATGTAATGTGAGCGAGAGTGAGCAGTTTATAGCAGAGGCAACGGCATCGGATCGAACTCTGCCGTCAAATGAGCTTCCAGTCCTCCGACGTTCCCGGTCCCGTCCGCGGCGCCCGTAATCCGATTAAAATTTCGAGGCACAAAAATGACTCCACCAAACATACGAACTGCCACAGAGGCACATCGTTGCTCAGAAAAAAATACTACTTCGCACTTAAAGCCGAACATTTGAGCAAGGTGTTCCGGGCTGCAACAGCTGATACCTTTCGAGGGTTTATTTCCAACGAATTTTAGATGTCCAGGTAAACGAATCTCTGGTATGCATCTGCAGCGAGATAAACTTGAGTGCAGGGGTTCTCTGATAAAGACCGACAACAAGGTAAGTGTTGCTAGTAATAATTACATGCAAATCACGAAAATGACGGC